TCCAAGAAAATTCCACGATATTTCATCCCATAAATATTCCACCAAAAATTCCTTAATTCCAAGAAACTCAGGAATATTTCCTCCAACAAATATCCCACCAAAAATTCCTTAATTCCAAGAAATTCAGGAATATTTCCTCCCACAAATATCCCACCAAAAATTCCTTAATTCCAAGAAATTCAGGAATATTTCCTCCCACAAATATCCCACCAAAAATTCCTTAATTCCCAGAAATTCAGTAATATTCCATCCCATAAATATCCCCCAAAAAATTCCTTAATTCCAAGAAATTCAGGAATATTTCCTCCACTAAATATCCCACCGGCGCCGACATTCCCGGATTTTCCGGGAATCCCAAAAAAACAAGCCAAGCAGAGGGTACTTACTTTGTTTTAATTCCTGGGAAAGCATTAAAAAAACAAGGAAAACATCAAAAAGAATTCCTAATTTTTTTTAGGAATCACCAGGAACGACGAGAACCAAATTAATAAATAATTAATAATTCATAATTCATAATTAATACAGGTGTTAATTAACACGATTAATTCGACGCAGAGCTCGGGAGCTTCCCAGAATTCCAGGAAATTCAGGGAGAAATGTCGCAAAATCCCATTTTTCCACCCAGAATTCCCAAGAAAATTAGATTTTTAAGGAATGAAAATGTTAAAAATGAGGAAAAATTGGGAGTAATAAAGTCCCTTCTATTCCATGTCCATCAGTTTTCCCAGAATAATCCGGGAAAAAGGGATTGGAACCACCCAAACCAGCCTTTTTCCAGGTTTTCCCACCCAGAATTCCCAAACAAAAGAGGATTTTTAAGGAATGCAAAGGTTAAAAATTGGGAATAATAAAGTCATTTCTATTCCATGTCCATCAGTTTTCCAAAAATAATCCAGGAAAAAGGGATTGGAACCACCCAAACCAGCCCTTTTCCATGTTTTTCCACCCAGAATTCCACCCAAAAAACAGATTTTTAAGGAATGAGAAGCTTAAAAATGAGGACTCTTTCCAAACTCCTGCTGGTTTAATTCCATTAAATTCCCTAAAATTGGTTCTTTTCCAGCTCCCGCTGGTTTAATTCCCTAAAATTCCCGAAAATTCACGAAAATTCCAGAAAATCAGCTCTTTTCCAGCTCCCACTGGTTTAATTCCCGAAAATTCCCCAAAATTCCCTAAAATCAGCTCTTTCCCAGCTCCTGTTGGCTTAATTCCCTAAAATTCCCCAAAATTCCAAAAAATTCACAAAAATTCTTGAAAATTCCCAAAAATCGGCTCTTTTCCAGCTCCTGCTGGTTTAATTCCCGAAAATTCCTGAAAATTCCAAAAAATTCCCTAAAATTCCTGAAAATTCCCAAAAATCAGCTCTTTTCCAGTTCTTGCTGGTTTTATTCCCTAAAATTCCCCAAAATTCCCTAAAATTGCCTCCTTTCCAACTCCTGTTGGTTTAATTCCCCAAAATTCCCAAAAATCGGCTCTTTTCCAGCTCCCGCTGGTTTAATTCCTGAAAATTCCCAAAAATTCCCTAAAATTGCCTCCTTTCCAACTCCT